TAAATGATGTCAAGTTTAATGCAGCATTAACTAATATTCAATGCTAAAACCATAATGTTAAAGAAAGCTTATATGAAAAAAAACAGACATTGCAATAACGGCAAAATTTCTGTTTAAAAGTAGTGGGTGGGGCTGACATAGTGGCATAGTGGGTACAACCACCTACTACGGGTGCCATAGGGGTGCTGGTTCAAGACGTGGCTGATCCACTTTCGATCCGGCTCCTTACTAATGCACCTGAGGAAGCAGCAGAAGATTGTCCAAGTCCCTAAGCCCCTGCACCCGGGTGGGAGATCTGGGAAAATGCTCCTGGTTCCTGGCTTCCACCTGGCTCAGCTCTGGCCATTGTGGCCGTCTGGGGAATGAAGCAGTGGATAGAAGATTCTCTCTCTCTCTCTCTCTCTCTCTCTCTCTCTCTCTGGCTCTGCATCTCTGTAACTCTGCCTTTCAAATGCATAAATTTTTTTTTTTTAAATTGATGACCAGGGCCGGTGCTGTGGCGCAGCAGGTTAACACCCTGGCCTGCAGTGCTGGCATCCCATATGGTCGATGGCTCAAGTCCCGGCTGCTCCACTTCTGATCCCACTCTCTTCTGTGGCCTGGGAAGGCAGTAGAAGATGGCCCAAGTCCTTGGGCTCCTGCACCCTCATGGGAGATCTGGAAGAAGCTCCTGGCTCCTGGCTTCAGATCGGCACAGCTCTGGCCGTTGCAGCCAATTGAGGAGTGAACCAGGGGATGATAGACCTCTCTCTCTGCCTCTCCTCTCTCTGTGTAACTCTGACTTTCAAATAAATAAATAAATAATCTTTTAAAAAATCGATGACCATTGTAAATGATTCACAGAAGTGTCATTCTGAATAGAGATCCCAGACCCACAAGGGCACACTCATGCCTTCTTTTAAGCCCCACCCCCACCCCCACCCCCACAAACTGGGGCTGCAGGTCTTGGTACTGCCTGAGCCCACGGCTGCGGCTGAGCCAAGGACACGCAGCCCTGCACACCTGCGGCAGGTTCTGGGAGGGGTCTGATTCATGTGTTCCCACACACACCAGCTCCTCAGAGGACTTGAGCTGATCTCAGGTGCCCGATTGCCCCAGGTTAAAACCCCCAGACCTGAGTGTTTCCCTGAGCTGTCTGTGGGATTTTCTCTCTAACTCCATCCCTATGTCACCCTGGCACCACCTCCTGGAGGAGAGAATGCCGGCTTTGGGGCCAGCTGGTTGTGCTGGCCATGGCCAGACCCTCACCTTGACCCCGAGTAGCACCCTGCTGGTGTGTGTGTGTGTGTGTGTGTGTGTGTGTCCCTCTGCATGAGATCGCCTTGCACACGCTGGTTTCTGATGTGCATGTCTTTGCAGAGGAGGACAGGATGTCTGCGTGAACCCTGCAGGTGACGTGCAGGTGAGCATTGTGAGCCTGTGAGGGAAGCCTGATGGGGGGACTGTTGGGGGCAGATGCGTTCTGCCTTTGGGACAGACGAGCTGAGAAACACTGCCTGTGTCATTTGATGGAGAAGCCAATCAGTTTTCTTATAGATGAGGTGAACTTGTAGTGTACACACACACACACCACAGTCTTCCAAGTCTCCCAACTGGAATTTCACAACAGTGACCCTCCTCCTTCCCCACTGACAGGTGCCTGTGCTCAGGCAGGGGCGACAGGGAGCAGGGCTGTCCCAGGCCAGGGCAGTGTGCAGGCCCCAGGCTGCAAGGTGGTATCAGCAGGTGCGGTTTTCAGTCCTGGGGCCCCTGGGAAGTTTGGGAGACCTCACCCTGCTGCATGACCTAAAGGCGGAGCACTGAGCTGGAGGGCACCTGGGGTGGCTGTGGGCTCGCCTGGCTGGGGACACCACTCACCAGAGAGAGAGAGAGAGAGAGAGGAGGCCTGGAGCTGGGGGTTCTGCCTTGTGCCTTTGGGAGTGCTGTCACGTGACTCGGTGCTCGGTCAACCCCTCACCCCGAGATGTTTAGAGGGGGTGGCTGGTCTGTGCAGTTTGTGTGCTTGGACCCCCGGGCTCCCTTGGCCACAGCAGTGAGCCAGGTGTGGTCCCCTTGTCCCTGACAAGGGCTGGACCCAGCCTGGCAAATAAATCACCAGGGGTTTTGCAGCCGGTGTTGAGGGCACCTCCTCTGCCTCTTGCTCACCCGGTGTTCACAGAAGCTTCACGCGTGTCTGTCTCATTTGTCCACGGATTGGGGGGGGGTAGGAGGTGGCAGTGCCCCTGCCCTGGGCTTTCACCTCTGGGAGACCCTGTGCACCGAGGTCATCTCCCTGCTCGGTGCTGCAGGTGAGTCACAGGAGGCACTTTCCCTGGCCTGCCCCTGCGATGCTGGTATGTCCCAGATGGAAATGGCGTGGGTTCCCCGTGTCCCAGGAGCAACCCTAGTAAATCAATGGCATGTGGGAAGGAACTGCGTCCAGGGCCAGTCCATCAGAATCACCTGGTAAAACCACCTGGGGGCAGTGCCAGGTGTGGGAATGGAGCCTCATTTGGGTCACGCATTTCCAGGCAGGCTGGAACCACCCTCTGTTGAACCTGCAGGTGGCTTAGCTGCGTCTGCACTGTGACTTGGGGTGCACCTATACAGTGGGGGAGGGGTTCTGTGGGCCCTGCTGGCTGTGTGGCCAGGTCAGTGCCCACTTGCCCAGGGGGACTCGCTGCCAGGGCGACCGTTGGGAAAGGTCTCCTCCTTCCAGATCCCCTGTGCGCTGCTCTGATGCCTAGGAGCCATCTCCGATTCCCGTGAGCGAGGGTTTTGCAGTGTCTCCTCCGTCCTGTCGCTGCCCAGGGACACAAGGCAATGCCTGCAGTGAGTTTCGGTTGTCATGAGGGGTGATGATTCTAGATTCCCTGCCCCCATCCTGCTGTGCTGAGGCTGAGAAATCCTCACCCCCACCCAAACCCCCGCCACCCAGCACCTTCATGCAGGTTTGGTGAAGCTTTGCGTTTGTTAGTCCATTTTATTTGAAAGGCAGAGATCTGCCATCCACTGGTGCATTCCCCAGATGGCTGCAACAGCCAGGGCTGGACCTGGGCGAAGCCGGGAGCCAGGAGCTCAGTCTGTCTCCTCTGTGTAGGCAGGGGCCCAAGCGTTTGAGCCTCCCAGGTGCGCATTAGCAGGAATTGGGATCAGAAGCCGAGGAGTCGGGACTCAGACCAGGCACTCCCACATGGGAGGTGGCAACTTAACCATTGCCAAACACTGCCTGCCTATTTTTTAAATTTTTTTATTTTTTGACAGGCAGAGTGGACAGTGAGAGAGAGAAAGAGAGAAAGGTCTTCCTTTGCCGTTGGTTCACCCTCCAATGGCCGCCATGGCCAGCGCACTGCAGCTGGCGCACTGTACTGATCCGATGGCAGGAGCCAGGTGCTTTTCCTGGTCTCCCATGGGGTGCAGGGCCCAAGTACTTGGGCCATCCTCCACTGCACTCCCCGGCCACAGCAGAGAGCTGGCCTGGAAGAGGGGCAACCGGGACAGAATCCGGCGCCCTGACTGGGACTAGAACCCGGTGTGCCGGTGCCGCAAGGTGGAGAATTAGCCTATTGAGCCACGGCGCCGGCGCCTGCCTATTTTTAAAAAGCAAAAGATTAGGGGACAGTGCTGTGGTGTAGCAGGCTAAGCATCCCACATGGGCACTGATTCGAGTCCTGGCTTCTCCACTTCCCATCCAGCTCTCTGCTATGGCCTGGGAAACAGTACGAGATGGCCCAAGTCCTGGAGCCCCTGCACCCATGTGGGAGACCTGGAAGAAGCTCCTGGCTCCTGGCTTTGGATTGGTGCCCCTCTGGCTGCTGTGGACATTCAGGGAGTGACCCAGTGGATGGAAAATATTCCTCTCTCTCTCTCTCTCTCTCTCTCTCTCTCTAACTCTGCCTCTCAAATAAGTTAAAAATAAATAGAAGAGTGAGGCTTGCTTTGCCATCTCACGCTGTCTTCCCTTTGGTTGAGGTGTTTCCAGGCCGTTTCTATTGGTGCAGTCACCACTGAGTCATCTTTCCCTTGGCCTCCTTTTCTCAGCCGTGTGGATGGAGATCCCTGCAGCCGCCCCCTGCCCCCTTCCCCCAGGCTCAGCGGTTTGCTAGGGAGGACTCCTGGCTAAGGTAAGTCACAGTGGGAAGCACCAAGCAGGATGGGCAGGGAGGGAAGTGCACGGGTTGACTCGAGGACAACAGGCCCCAGTGTGCAGGGGCATCCCCTCTCCTCCCAAAGGGTCACAGGTCCTCCCCAACCCAAGCTGTGACCTCCACTAGTGAAACATCAGCCAGGGACCCTTGTGGGAGCTGTGGTGTCCAGGGCTTCTCCCGAGGGCTGGGCATGCACAAATCCAAACTCCGGGAGGAAATCCGGGCTTCAGTGCGGTGCAGCCGAGGTGCAGGCCCCCCCTTCACTGTGCTGGCCTCTTCTGAGACCCCAGCCCCCAGATATGCCCCAGGGCCTGCAGCCTCAGGTGCCTCAGCTGGGGTGGGAACACTTGGGTGCAGGGGCCCAAGGACTTGGGCCATCTTCTACTATTTTCCCAGGCCGTAGCAGAGAGCTGGATTGGAAGTGGAGCAACCGAGACTGGAACTGGCTCCCATGTGGGATGCGGGCACTGCAGGCAGAGGGTTTACCTGCTATGCCACAGCGCCGACCCCAACAGAAGCGTTTTTATAAAAGCTCTCATCGAATAGGGAAAGCCTGGGCTCTGAGGTCTTCAGCAGTCAGCACCACCCTCTTCCTGGCCTCTGATTCACCATGCACGTGTGAGCCCTGTGCCTCCCAAAGTCCCCTCCTCTGTTGGCCGTGGCCTTGTCACTCTGCACAGTTGGGGGTCCTTAGCGTTCAGGAACACATGGAGCATCGCCGTCTGCTCACCGCTCACCTCCTCACTGGGTTTCCACCCCCGGCTTCTCTGCAGGCCGGAACCTCACAAGGGTCTGCATCCGGGCCCTGGACTGGGCGCCTGCACATTCAAGTCATCGAAGCCCCCTTTCCTGAGGGCTGCTGGGTGACTTGGAGTCCCCGGGACCCTTTCCAGGCTTTGTCTGGCTGCACCCAGAGCCCTCTTTGCTCTTTGCTGTCAGGCACAGACAGAGCCTGAGGGCCTGGCCAGATCCCTGGAGATGGGACGTGGGTCATGAGCCCAGTGTGAGCTCCTGGCTTGTCATAGCCAACTTGTGCCTTCTCACAGGCTGGGGACAGGCTGGAGGGGTTTGACTGAGACACAGGAGGGAGTGCAGTTCCTGGCTTTCTCTTCTGCCTCTCTGCTGGGTTCCCTTTGTGACCTTGGCCATGGCCGGAACCTGCCCCAGGCCTGTGCTGGACATTTTCTTGTTGCTTATGAGGGGAGGTCCACGCCAGTCTGGTCCCTGGTTTTTCAGCCGAAGCTCACCATGCCGTGAAGGCGTCAGGTCTGACTGTGGGGTGTGGCTTGTGCAAAGGACTCTGGGTGATTGCTGCCCCTGCCCTGGAGGCCTCCCTTACCCCCCTGCCCACTCCCACTCTGTCACCCAGGCCTCCAAGCTCGGATACTTTTCATCCAGCACAGCTCACAGAGTGCTTGGTGTGCTGATCCCAGAGGCCTCGGGGCTGAACAGCTCCGTATCCCACAGGGAAAGGGGTGAAGAGGGAGCTACCCCTTGATAACAGAGGTCTATGCAGGCTGAGTGCGGGGTCTCCTGGTCCTCCCTGTCGGCGCTGCGGTGCCCCTCTCGTAAACCCTGATGTCCGGGTGGTACTGTTGGGAGACGCCTGTGCCCTGGGCAGGCAGGGCTGTGTGCTGGGGGGGGGGTGGGCCCAGCACTGGAGGGCACCTGGCTGGGAGGCCTCAGCCGCAGTGCGGGGCACCAGGCGTGCCCACTGCTCCTTCCACGTGCTCACCTGTGAGCCCTGCTGTAGGTGTGGATCCTTCTTCAGGCAGAGTTCACAAGCCCCATGCTTTTGATTGCATTATCCTCGGAACCACAAGTTTTAACCAAACAGTACCAAGCCAGGCATGGGGGCATGGGAGGCAGGTTCTGGGTGGCTGGGGATGAGCAAGGACCCCAGAAGTGCCAGAGAGCCAGTGAGAGGACACCCCGCTCCCTGGGGTGGGGGTGGGGAGCTGGGCAGTGGGCAGCACCCTGGCTGCAGCGCTGGACTGGATAAGGGCCCTCGGAGAGGTTCCCAATGGATGCCAGTAGAAAGGGCACAAAACTGTTCAGCCGTGAAGGAAGGATCACGGAGCAGCTGTGGCCACGGGGAGCAGAAGAGGAGTTTGCTACAAGGGCTGGGGAAGGGGCCCACACCCCCGGGGGTAAGGGGGTGGGGGGAGCTGCAGCCACAGTCCTGGCCCCAGACGCTGCCACCTGCTCGCTCCCAATCAGCCAGGCTGGCGCAGGGGTAGAGGGAGAGGCCCTCCTGGGCTGTGCTGCCCACGGCACCCACAAGCCCACCCAGCCCGAAGTCAGCATGCCTCGAGAATGCAGGGAGGGAGGTCCGCAGGCCGCTGCCCAGAGAGACTGTGCGGTAAGAGTGGCCTCAGAGCTCGCTCCTGTCGGAGACGAGACCCCTGAGGTGTGGCAGCTGTGTGCTCACCTGCTGCCCTTCTCCCCACAGCGGGACTCCCGTGGGGCCAACCCAGCAAGCTGGCACCGTGCCCCGTCCTTCCACACCCTCGGTGGAGACATCAGCGAGTTAGAGCAATATCGGGATCTCAGGCGTGTGTGTGTGTGTGTGTGTGTGTGTGTGTGTGTGTGGAGCTGACCTGAGCAGGTGCTCAGAAGCTTCAGACGCCCCCTGGAGGACGGCACGGAGCAGTGCCACACGGCTGCCGGAACCTGCAGGAGTTGACCCCTGATGTGGGCGACAGCACTGCTCATTTTAAAGCTGCTGCTGCTTCTCCTGCTTCCTGCTGGGGCAGGGTCCCCGCCTGCTGGCCGTCTTCCTCGTGGCTGTGTCCTGGCATTTACGTGGTGAGCAGGTCCTGAACCATCTCCAGGAAGTACAGATGTCCCTAAGGGAGACGATTTCCTGAAGGCGAGAACAGCCAGCGTCTGCTCTGCCACCACCTGTGCACTTGGGGTGCTCTGGTGCGGCCCCCACCCCTGCACCCCTGGGCTTCCCGGCCACTGGCCCTCTTGTCCCCTGGATGCCCAGTGGCTTGGTCATGGGTTGCAGCAAAACCTTTTAACAGCCCTGCTGCTTCTCTGCATTGGGCCTGTTTGGGGTTGGGGGCATCTTGGGCCTGCACAGGGTGGGCTCCGGCCCAGTGCCCTGCCTCAGGCTGATGGTGCCTGGGACCCTTGGCTCATCTGCTGTAGGAGCCCTGGGCGCCTGAGCTGCAGGCTCTGCAGGGAAGGGGCCTCCCTGGCTGGCTGTGATCTGAGTGCCCTGGTGGGGAGGGGGCGGTGCTGTCCAGAACCGGGTGCTTGCACCTTCCACTGCTTCTGTGTGTGCTGCCCCCCACCCAGGTCCCCTTGAGCCTGCTGTGGAGCTGAGCTCGGCCCTCTGACACCTGGCCCTCTCCCTGGTCACCAAAGGTGGCTTCTGTAATGGCAGCAATGAGACATCGATGCCAGAAGGGGCCACCAGTACACAGAGCCTTGTCTCAGACTGCACAGGGAGCAGGGAGGGAGCAGGTGCCAGTCCTGGCCTGGCTGGACCTGGATCCCTGGGGCTGGGCAAGACTGGGGCAGGGGGCAGCAGTCATGGTGCCCAAGGTCGGGTGGCAGGCAGGACACAAGGCTGACAGCTGTGCCCCCCGGGGGGCCTAGACCACCACCCGTTGGCCCTTATGTCACTGATGAGGAAACAGGCAGGTGCCTGAGACAGGGTCCATAACCCCCCTTCCCCAACACCCCATCCACCTCCCGGTCTGCAGGTCCCCAGTGATTCGCTGCAGATGGGGAGATACTGCGTGTCCTCCATTGCCGGCTTCTGCCCCTGGCTTTGGCTGTGCCGGGGACCTCAGGTGGCTGCTAATCTCATCAATCCAGGGCTCTCACCGAGCCACAGACAGTTCTGCCAGGCTCCAAGCCTTGTTGGGGTTTGCCCTGGTCCACCCTGTGTTGTGGCAGATGGGGGTGTGTGTACAGGCACATGTACAGGGGCAGGGAGATTTGTGTGTGCTCGGCAGTTGTGCCTGTGTGTGAACGGTGTGCACCCGGAGGTGTGTAGCTGTGTGCAGTGTGCAGACGGGCACGGGCAGCTGTGGATGTGTACAGCTGCATGCGGGCTTCTCAGAGTCACAGGCCCGGTGGACAGCAGACCCCAGCCACCGTGGGCCCTGGGCAGCAGAGCTGGACACAGCACATCGCCTGGCTGCAGGCAGCTTCAGAGGGGCACTACTGAGAGACCTACAAATGGGAACCAAATCTTTTAAAATAGATAGATTTATATGAGAGCAGCAAGAGAGACAGAGACGTCCCATCTGCCAGTTCACTTCACAGATGTCTGTGACAGCCAGGACAGGGCCAGGCTGAAGCCAGGAGCTGGCAATGCAGTCCAGGTCCCTGATGGGGGTGGCCCAGACCACCAGTCACTTAGGGGATCTGCACTGCCAGGAGGCTGGAATCAAAAGTGGAGCCCGGACTCAAACCAAGCACTCCACCATCCAGCATGGGATGCCAGGACATTGGAAGCTCTGGACCCAAATGCCCACCCTTGGGAAACATGTAGAACTACAGATCAGAGGCCCTGGGAAGGCTGTGGAGGAGAGAGCATGCTGTGAGTGTGCCTGTGGGCTGTTTGTGTTTTCTATCAAAACCCAGGGCTGGGGCTGGCGCTGTGGGGCAGTGTGTTAACGCCCCGGCCTGAAGCGCTGGCATCCCATATGGGTGCCGGTTCGAGACCTGGTTGCTCCACTTCCCATCCAGCTCTAACTCTGTTGTGGTCTGGGAAAGCAGTAGAAGATGGCCCAAGGCCTTGGGCCCCTGCACCCATGTGGGAGACCTGTGCACCAGACTGAGGAGCGACTTGGGAGGTCCACCCCACAGGCCTTCCCCACCACCACCCAGCCAGGTCAGAGCCACCCCCCCATCATGGGGGCATTGCCATGGTTGCGGGGTCATGGGCTCTGTGAGCACCTTGGGTTCCGTGTGACCCCACAGGTCCCCTCCTCACTTCTCAAGTCAGCCTTTGCTGAGCGAGAAGCCTTTGGCTGGACTTCGCCGTCCAGATCTGATTGCAGTTGCGGTGAGTTAGGGATTCTGGTACCCAGGGGTGGGGGGAGCCTGCAGGGAGCTGATGCTGAGCTGAAGGGCTGTTTCTTGGTGGGGGGTGGAAGATGGGAGGGCAGGGCTGCCCCAGGCAGTAGGGTGGTGGTGGTGAGAGTGGCCGAGGGGTGGACAGGCACCACCAGCACGCCTCCAGATGGGAGGCCCATGATATGTGCCTTAGGGTGCCCATCCTGATGCCATTACAAGGGTGGTGGACAGTGAGGGAGGAGGCTGTCAATGCAGCAGGTGGGAATGGATAGCAGGTGGCTGAGGCCCCTCCCAGGAGTGGGTAGAGGCCAGGATGCATCCTGGTGGGTCCAGGCAGGGCCCCTCACACCTGACCAGCTGGTATATACTTGTGAGAGTAGCTGCCTGGTGCTGGCCCCTCCCACTGAGACACGACACATGAGCCCTCCCTCATCCCTATTACCTGGCCAGAAAGAAGAAAACCAGGGTCCAAAATGAGGCAGGGATGTGACTGGGAAACACTGGGCCCCAGCCCCATAGCGACCAGTCTCTGAGACGGCCCTAGAATCCCAGAACTGGGATTCCAAGGGGTTCATGGCAAGCACTTGACAGGATGAGCCCACTGGGGCCCGTGGGGTGCCAGGGTGGCATCCAGGGTGGAGGCCAAGTGGCCAGAGAGCCTGCCAGAGGTGGCCTCTGACCAGGCACAGGGAGGGGCTGGAGGCCCCCAGCCCAGGGATGCAGTGTGACATCAGCTTGAGGGGTTCTGAGGCCCAAAGAACCATGCAGTGCACACATGTGTGTTTGTGTACTGTGATGGTGTGTAGTGTGTATGTGTATGCTGTGTGTATATGGGGTGTGGGGTGTGTATAATGGGGGAGTGGTAGGTGTGTATGGAGGTGTGGGTATATGTGGTAGCTCTGTGTGTAGTGAATGTGTTGTGTGATAGATGTGTCTGGTACCTGGGTGGGGTGTGTGTATGGTGTGTGTGTATGGGATACATACACATGTAGATATGTGTTTGTGTGTCTTCTGTGTGGTATATATATGCGGCACCTGGTGTGTGGTGAATGTAGTGTGTGTGTTGTGTGCATGGTGTATGGTATGTATGTGTGTGTATGGTATATAGTGTATGTGATATGTGTATGGTTTGTGGTGTATTGTGTGTAGTGTATGTGTTGTGTATGATGTGTGTGTAGCATGCATGTGATGTGTATGATGTGTGATGTTTGTACTGTGTGTGTCGTGTATGGTGTGTAGTGTATGTATGGTATATGGTGTGTATGGTGTGTGTGTAGTGTGTATGGTGTGATGTGTGTAGTATGTGTGTGGTGTATGGTGTGTAGTGTATGTGTGGTATATGGTGTGTATGATGTGTGATGTTTGTACTGTGTGTGTTATGTATTGTGTGTAGTGTATGTGTGATATATGGTGTGTATGGTGTGTGTGTAGTGTTTATGGTGTGTGATGTATATGGTGTGTGTGTGGTATGCATGTGTGTGTGTTGTATATGGTGTGTATAGTGTGTATGGTATGTGTATAGTGTGTATGGCATGTGGTGTGTATGGCGTGTGTGTGGTGTGTATGTTGTGTTTGTGTAGTGTGTATGGTGTGTGTGGTGTATGGTGTATAATGTATGATGTGTTTGTGGTGTGTACAGTATGGTGTGTGTGGTGTGTGGTGTGTGTGTGGTGCGTATAGTGTGTGGTGCATATAGTGTGTGGTGTGTATAGTGTGTGGTGTGGTGGGGATCCAGGTGGCTGCTGATCTCATCAATCCAGGGCCCTCATTGAGCCATAGACACCTCTGCCAAGCTTCAAGCCTTGTCGGGGTTCACCCTGGTCCACCCTGTGGTGTGGCGGAAGGGGATGGAGAGTCTTCTGTGTGTTTGGCGGTTGTGCCCATGTGTGAGCGATGTGCACCCAGAGGTGTGTAGTTGTGTGCAGTGTGCAGATGGGCATGGGCAGCTGTGGTGTGTGTACAGCTGCATGCGGGCTTCTCAGAGTCACTGGCCCGGTGGACAGCAGACCCCAGCCACCACGGGCCCTGGGCAGCAGAGCTGGACACAGCACATTGCCTGGCTGCAGGCAGCTTCAGAGGGGCACTACTGAGAGACCTACAAATGGGAACCAGATCTTTTAAAATAGATAGGTTTATATGAGAGCAGCAAAAGAGACAGAGATGTCCCATCTGCCAGTTCACTTCACAGACGCCTGTGCCATCCAGGACAGGGCCAGGCTGAAGCCAGGAGCTGGCAATGCAGTCCAGGTCCCTGATGGGGGTGGCCAGACCACCTGTCACTTAGGAGATCTGCACCACCAGGAGGCTGGAATCAAAAGTGGAGCCTGGACTTCAACCAAATACTCCACCATCCAGCATGGGATGCCTGGGCATCATAACCTCTGGCCCCGAACGCCCACCCTTGGGAAACTTCTAGAACTACAGATCAGAGGCCCTGAGAAGGCTGCGGAGGAGCGAGTGTGCTGTGAGCATGCCTGTGGGCCGTTCAAGTTTCCTATCAAAACCCAGGGCTGGGAGGCCGGCGCCACCGTGGTGCAGGAGGTTAATCCTCCACCTGCGGTGTCGGCATCCCATATGGGCACTGGTTCTAGTCCCAGCTGCCCCTCTTCCAATCCAGCTCTCCGTATGGCCTGGGAAAGCAGTAGAAGATGGTCCAAGTCCTTGGGCGGCTGCACTCGCATGGGAGATCGGGGAGAAACACCTGGCTCCTGTCTTCGGATCAGAGCAGCTCCGGCCATTGCAGCCAATTGGGGAGTGAACCATTGGATGGAAGACCTCTCTCTCTCTCTCTCTCTCTGCCTCTTCTCTCTCTGTATAACTCTGACTTTCAAAATAAATCTTAAAAAAAAAAAATAACCCAGAGCTGTGAACCAGATTGAGAAGTGACCTGGGAGTTCCACCCCACAGTCCCTCCCCCACCCCCACCCCAGCCAGGTCACAGCCATTCCCCTCCCCCCACCACCATGGGGGCATTGCCATGGTTGCGGGGTCATGGGCTCTGTGAGGCGCCTTGGGTTCCGTGTGATCCCACAGGTCCCCTCCTCACTTCTCAAGTCAGCCTTTGCTGAGCGAGAAGCCTTTGGTAGGACTTCGCTGTCCAGATCTGATTGCAGTTGCGGTGAGTTAGGGATTCTGGTACCCAGGGGTGGGTGGAGCCTGCGGGGAGCTGATGCTGAGCTGAAAAGCTGTTTCTCGGTGGGGGGTTCAAGATGGAAGAGCAGGGCTGCCCCAGGCGGTAGGGGTGGGGGTGGCGAGAGCAGCTGAGGGGTGGGCAGGTGCCACCAGCATGACTTAGGGTGCCCATCCAGGTGCCATGTTACAAGGGTGGTGGACAGTGAGGGAGGAGGCTGTCAATGCAGCAGGTGGGAATGGATAGCAGGTGGCTGAGGCCCCTCCCAAGAGTGGGTAGAGGCCAGGATGCACCCCGGTGGGGCCACGCTGGGCCCCCCAAACCTGAGCAGGGGGAACACAACTGTGAGAGTAGCTGACCAGGTGCCGGCCCTTCCCACTGAGACAGGACAGAGCCTTCCCCCATCCCCCCAGCCAGGAAGATGAAAACCAGGGTCCAACATGGGGCACAGATGTGACCTGGAATCACTGGGCCCCAGCCCCACAGCGACCATTCTCTGAGACGGCCCTAGAATCCCAGAATTGGGATTCCAAGAGCTTCATGGCAAGCACTCGACAGGATGAGCCCACTGGGGCCCGTGGGGTGCCAGGGCGGCATCCAGGGCAGAGGCCAGACGGCCAGGGAGCCTGCCAGAGGTGGCCCCTGACCAGGCAGGGGGAGGGGCTGGAGGCCCCCAGCCCAGGGATGCAGTGTGACATCAGCAAGAGGGGTTCTGAGGCCCAAAGAACCATGCAGTGCACACATGTGTGTTTGTGTACTGTGATGGTGTGTAGTGTGTATGTGTATGTTGTGTGCATATGGGGTGTGGTGTGTATATAATGGGGGAGTGGTATATGTGTGATGGAGGTATGGGTTTATGTGATAGCTCTATGTGTAGTGAATGTGTTGTGTGTGTGATAGATGTGTCTGGTACCTGGGTGGGGTATGTATATGGTGTGTGTGTATGGGATACATACACATGTAGATATGTATTTGTGTGTCTGCTGTGTTGTGTATATGTGTGGCATCTGGTGTGTGGTGTGTAGTGTGTTTGTGTGGTGTGTGCATGGTGTATGGTATGTATGTGTGTGGTGTGTATACAGTATATGGTGTGTGTGATATGTGTATGGTGTATGTGTGGTGTGTCTGGTGTGTGGTGTATGGTTTATAGTGTATGCGTGGTGTATGATGTGTATGTAGTGTATATTGTGTGTGGTGTGTGTAGTGTGTGTGTGGTGTATGGTGTATGTGTAGTGTGTATGGTGTGTGATGTGTGTAGTGTGTGTGTGGTGTATGGTGTGTAGTATATGTATGTATGGTGTGTGTGTGGTGTGTATGGTGTTATGTATGGTATATGGTGTGTATGGTGTGTGTGTGGTATGTACAGTGTGTGTGTGGTGTATGGTGTGTATTGTGTGTACTGTGTGTATATATAGTGTGTATGGTATGTGATGTATATTGGGTGTGTGTGTGGTGTGTATGGTGTGTGATGTATGGTGTATATGTGGTATACGGTGTGTATAGTGTGTTGGTGTGTGTGTAGTGTGTATGGTTTGTGATGTGTACGGTATGTGTGGTGTGTAGGGAATGTGGTGTATATGGTGTGTGTGGTATATGGTGTGTTTAGTGTGTATGGTGTGTGTGTATGCTGTGTTGTGTGTGATGTATGGTATATATGTGGTGTATGGTGTGTATAGTGTGTGTGTAGCATGTATGGTGTGTGTGTGTTGTGTATGGCAAGTGGTGTGTACGGTGTGTGTGTGATATTGTATGTATAGTGTGTATGATGTGTGTGTATGCCGTGTGGTGTGTATGGTATGTAATGTATGGTGTGTATGTGGTGTATGGTGTGTGTGTAGAGTATATAGTGTGTGATGTGTATGGTGTGTGTGTGTTGTGTATGGCAAGTGGTGTGTACAGTGTGTGTGGTATATGGTGTGTATAGTGTGTATGATGTGTGTGTATGCTGTGTGGTGTGTATGGTATGTAATGTATGGTATGCATGTGGTGTATGGTGTGTGTGTGGTGTGTATGATGTGTGATGTGTGTGGTGTGTGCTCCACAGGAGGACTTCTCGGGGGGGGGCACCTGCACAGGTGGATCCTGGCAACCACGCTTGCCGCTCTCGGGGTAAACACCAACAGAGCTGCCCTCGGGATCTCACACAGAGAAAGAGGAGAGCACACCATGCCCCAGTAAGAGCCTCACCTGTGGGGCCCCGAGGACCCTTAGCTCAGAACCGACCCTAACCCACTTGGCATTTCATGTGACAAAGAAAGCACCAATGTCAGGGACTCCATTCTCATTGACCCCCTGTAGGACAAAGGTGACCACTGGAGGCACTAGTTTTCTAGTGTGTTGTAACCCCTGGGATGGGCTCTTCTATCCGGGTGAGTTGTAACCCCTGGGATGGGCTCTTCTATCCAGGTGAGTTGTAACCCCTGGGATGGGCTCTTCTATCCAGGTGAGTTGTAACCCCTGGGATGGACTCTTCTATCCAGGTGAGTTGTAACCCCTGGGATGCGCTCTCCTGCCTGATTCAAAGACTTTGGAAAGCAGCCCATCTAGGAGGGGTCATTCTCAAACAGTTGGGTGACAGAAAACACAACAAACCAAACCAAAAAAAAAAAAAAAACCTTTGAATAGTTTTGTGCATGATCTAAATATTTATCTATCTATTTACCTATATATATTTGTTTTATAAAAGTATAATCATGTTATGCATATTTTTAGGAGTTTTTTTTTAACTTTTATTTAATATATATAAATTTCAAAGGTACGGCTTATGGATTACAATGGCTTCCCCCCCATACCGTCCCTCCCACCCGCAACCTCCCCTTTCCCACTCCCTCTCCCCTTCCATTCACATCAAGATTCATTTTTGATTCACTTAATATAAAGAAGATCAGTTTAGTATACATTAAGTAAAGATTTCAACAGTTTGCTCCCACACAGAAACATAAAGTGAAAAATAATAGATGATTTTTTAAATGATGATGAAATCAGATCAGACCTATTGTCATGTTTAATCCCAGTGAGAGTCAAGTTGGGAATTGTGTAAATTTTTTTTTTTTTTACAGATCAGTTTAGTATACATTAAGTAAAGATTTCAACAGTTTGCACCCCCATAGAAACACAAAGTGAAATATACTGTTTGAGTACTTGTTATAGCATTAAATCACAATGTACAGCACATTAAGGACAGAGATCCTCCATGAGGAGTAAGTGCACAGTGACTCCTGTTGTTGACTTTACAAATTGACACTCCTGTTTATGGCATCAGTAATCTCCCTATGCTCCAGTCATGAGTTTCCAAGGCTATGGAAGCCCCTTGAGTTCTCCGACTCTTATCTTGTTTAGACAAGGTCATAGTCAAAGTGGAGGTTCTCTCCTCCCTTCAGAGAAAGGTACCTCTTTCTTTGAAGACCTGTTCTTTCCACTGGGATCTCACTCACAGAGATCTTTCATTTAGGTTTTTTTTTTTTTTTTTTTTTTTTGCCAGAGTGTCTTGGCTTTCCATGCCTGAAATACTCTCATGGGCTTTTCAGCCAGATCGGAATGCCTTTAGGGTTGATTCTGAGGCCAGAGTGCTGTTTAGGACATTCTATGAGTCTGCTGAGTATCTCGCTTCCCATGTTGGATCACTCTCCCCTTTATTTATTCTATCGGTTAGTATTAGCAGGCGCTACACTTGTTTATGTGCTCCCTTGACTCTTAGTCCTTTTATTATGATCAATTGTGAACTGAAATTGATCACTTGTACTAGTGAGATGGCATTGGTACATGCCACCTTGATGGGATTGAATTGGAGTCCCCTGGTATGTTTCTAACTCTACCATTTGGGGAAAGTCAGCTTGAGCATGTCCCAAATTGTACATCTCTTCCCTCTCTTATTCCCACTCTTATGTTAAACAGGGATCACATTTCAG